TTTTTAAAAAAAAAAAAAAAAAAAAAAATGAACAATAAATGCCTTATAGATAAAAAAAAGGAAACCAACTTTATAAATTGAATCTTTCAAGTACTTTTTTTTTTTTTTTTTTTTTTTTTTTTTTTTTACGAATTGTACTTTTTTCAATGTAATTATAGAATTATAAAAAAAATTTTACCTTAATAATAAGTATTTTTAAAATAGTAAAAAATGTTATAATTTAATTTTTTTAACAATTAATTTTTATCAGTGTTTTGAACAAATTATACTTTGTAGACAGATCTAAATAAAAATAAATGTGTATTTAAGTATTATCTTTTTATTTTATATTTTTTCAGTAGCTACAATTTTTCTTCTTTTTAAAGTGTAAAATTATATAAGACTTTTTTTTTTTTTTTTTTTACTAATGTAATTTATTCTTTATGGTTTTAGTAAAAGTTTACTATAATTATTAATGATACTATTATTTTTATTAATATATTTTGATTATTAATAGTATTATTATTATAAATATATAAATATTATAAAAATACTAATTTTTTTTTTTTTACTTGTGGGAATATAATTATATAAGACCTACAAAAATTACTTGTTTTTCTTTTAATTTTATTTTAAATAATATGTAGAAAAAAAGGAAAGTTAAAAAAAAAAGAAAGAAATATAATATATATTTTTTTTTATAAAATTCCTTATTCAACTTCAAAAAAAATTTTTAATTCTTATTTCTTTAAAGTACTTTGTATCTCCTATGTAAATTCCTTTTTTTTTCTATTATTTTTCTTTTTCACTATTTCTAGATTCCATTAATATTTTTTTTTTTAATGATTTTCAACTTTAATTATATTCTTAATATTATAAATATTACATTATAAGAAATTAAATATTTTAATAAAAAAATTACTAATGCATATTTTTATTTCTTTTTTTAATTACATTATTATGAATGCAATTTTTAAATGCTATTGTTTGTACTTCTAAAAGTATTTTATTAGTACGTTGTGTACATGTTTCACTTATTTATTAATTAATATGTTTTATTTTTTTTTTTCATTTTGATTCTAGTTTTTTTATAATTAATTTAAAATCTCTTTTTAAAAAAATAAAATATAAAAATTAAGGATATTAATAATTTTATATACATATATATATATATACATATATATATACATACATATATTCAAAATACCAATTTTATTTATTTTATTTCTTTTCTTTCAATTTTTATAGAAAACATTTAGTTTATATTTAAAACAAACTATATTTTTATAAAGATAACTTAATAATATTCACAGTTATAGAAATACAAAATATTGTGTTTATGAAAAGTACATAAAAAAATTCATGGAAAATTTTTAGAATGTACATAGAATACTTTTTTTTTTGTTTGTTCATTAATTTTTTTAAAAAGATATGAACATATCATTTCATATTAATATATTTTTAATTATTTAATGAAAAAAAAAAAGAAAAAAAAATGCATTGTCAATTATAATTGTTTAATTACACAATTTAACCTTATTTATAAAATAATTTTTACTAATAGTTAGTATATTTATATATTTTTTTTTATGTTTTAAAAAATTTATGTGTATATGTATGTGTATGTATATATATATATATATGTATGCATATGAAATATGGACGGTAATTCAAAGATAAATAACCATGAACATACAGAAAATTTGAATGATGCGATCATACAAAAATACAAAATATGGGTTGATTTGCCTGAAACAAGAAATATTTTAAGTACATCTGTGAGTAGAAGTTTTATTAATATTCCGTATGAAAATTACAAATTCAATTTAAGAAGAATGAATACAATAGATACAGCAGATTTAATCAATAAACAAAAATTATGTGAATTACCGAAAATTGTTAACAAAAGTATAAACAGCGAAGAAAATATAAATGATTGCAATGAAACGGATCAAATTAAGAGTGTGAATGGAGATATAAGAAAAAATAATAATTGTAATTTGAATGAAATAAAAGAAGATAAAAAAAAATATATTAATGGAATAAAAGTAAAAAATCAAACATATTTAAAAAATGACGACACAAATCCATCCTTTGGGACGCAATTTCACGAAAAAGGTAAAATATAAAAAATAAGAAAAAAAATAAATATATTAATAAACATGTATATATATTATAAAAATACATTTGGATCATTTATGAAAAATATATTATATTGAAACAATATAAGAATAAATTTAAAAAATATTGGGTCTAAAAAAGAAAAATAAAATAAAATGCATGAAATAGAAGAAAAATAAGTGCATTATATAAAAAAATAAAATATGAAAAATTATGAACAATGCATGTTTACACATAAATATTTGTATAAAATATTTTTAAAAACTTCATAATGATGTATCGAAAAAAATGAAATATTTTTTAATAATAAAAGAAATAAATATTCTAATTTAAAAAAAAAAAAATATATATATATATAATTTTAATTTTTTTTTTAATAAAGGAACATGTAATCCTTGTAGATATGAATGGACACGTGGGTGTCATATGGGTAGATTTTGCAGATTTTGCCATCATTCTTCGCATGTTCCATTGGGTACAGAACGAGTAGTACCAGATCCCAAAATTTTAGCTACTACCAAAGTTAGACCAGAGAATATTTTAACTTTCAGAAAATTTGCAAGTATTTAAAAAATAAAAAACAACGAAAAAAGTTATATGCTGTACACCTCTTTGTTCTGTTGCATTTACATAGAGAAAACGTTTTTTTTTTTTGAATTTTTACAAATAACAATATATGTAATTTAATTTACACAAATGCTTTTTTTTTATTATGTAAATTTTCAATTTTTAGGTTATGCAACAAGCATGAATTCTTTACTTGATGCTAATTCTCCAAATCATATATATGAAGACAAAGTCAAAACGTACAATAATAGTAAAATGAGTAGCCCAAATAGAAATAACATAAATAATGCAAATAATTATAAAAATGGGAATAACTATAAAAATAATTCTAATTTTAAAAAAACTAGTAATTACAAAAGTGTAAACAATTATAAAAGCATAAAAGTTTATAAAAATACAAACATTTATAAAAATTCTGATAATTATGTAAATACAAATAACTTAGACAATACTGGTTATCTTAATTTTAAATATTATAATGATACAAACTATTTTAATAATTACGAAAATCTGTCTAATTGTTATAATAGAACAAAGCTCCTTACTAATAATAAGGATAATGAATTTCATAAAACATTAGATACTTTTTCAAATAATAAGGATACATTAAAAAATTTTAAAGAGTTGAACTCTTTTACTAGAGAATCCGCTTTAAAAACCATAAATTCTTATCAAAGAATCAAACTAGTTTCTTAAATGAATAAAATTAATAAAATAATTAAATTAATATCATATTGTTAAATGAAAAAAAATGATTTATATTTCATTTTTAATTGAAACCAGCATTTAAAAAAAATCTCTCTTTTTAATTGAAAATTTTTTTTTTTGTATTTTATTAATAATTGAAAAAAAAAAAAAAAATAAACAATAAAAATAAGAAAAAGAAAAAGAATAGATATATTATATATAGAGAGATGTAATACAACGAGTGAAATTATTTTAGTTCATTTACATGTCTTTATATTTTTTAAATATAATAACTTTATAAATGTATTAATTTTATTCATAATTTTATAATAAATAATATAAAAAAAAAAAAAAAAGGAAAATAATAAAATTAAAAAAGAAGGTATTTTCTTTTTATATAAACTTTTAATAAATTTATATTTAAATAATTTTTGAAAAAAAGAAAAATATAATATTTTTTTTCACGTATATATATGTTATTTTCATAATTTGCATTTTATTTGTGGTACATTAACAATATTCTAACATAATACAATTTCAAGAATTATTTTTTCGTTCAGTTTATTTTTTTTTGCATTATTATTAAAAATTTTTATATATATTTTAAAAAAAAAAAAAAAGCATATAGATTGTTAATTGGAATATTATGTGTATGCAAATTCGTTGATGTTTTTGAGGTTATAAAATATGTATTGAAAATAAAATTTACGATACAAAATTTATGTGAATTAACAATTAATATATTTAACAAATTTTTGCTGAAATATAGTTAACACATATTTTATTTCAAATAGAGTTTTTTATTCTCATTTTTAAAATAGTACCTTATACCATTTTTTGTTCATTTGAAGCATGCTTATATAAATTTAGACGTTGTTATAAATAAATATGTATATACATAAATATGTTTTTTTTTTTTTTTTTTTCTGAATTATTTATGAAAAAATTCATAATTCAATTTAGTTGTTTTCTAAATATTTTTTAAAAGGAATTTTCTTCGTATGCTTTTTATATGAAAATATACTTTTATTATTGATATTATTCTTAAAAAGCTAAAATTATACACATTCAAATAATGGTATTCAAAAATTTTATTCTAAAAAAATGTTAGAAAAAAAAAAAAAATTTAGTATTAAAGAAATAAAAACTGTATAGAAATTTTTATTCTACATAAAAAGGTTATATAGAAGTAAATTTATAATTATTTTATTTTTTTTTTTTTTTACTTACATTTTAAATATTATCCATAACAAAAAAAAAAAAAAATAATGTTACAAATGACACAAGCATGTGCATTTTTATAGCTCCATATATATGAAGCAATATAAAAGAATAAATAAAAAAAAAAAAAATTTTTAAAAGGATTCAAAAAAAATACATACATATATCTCCTAATACTTTGAATAGTATTTTTTTAAGAAAGTATTTCTTTTGCATAATGAAAAATAAAGAATTTTTTTTAAGAAATAAAATAGAAAAAGAATCTATTGCATTATTTAAAAAAAATTTATTAAAGGAAAGCTATAATTGGTTTAAAGATACAGATTATTTTGTAAAATTAAAAAATGAGAATAAATATTCTAATATAGAAAATAAAACAGAAACAAAAAATCTAGTAACAGGAAGAGTACAATTGGGATGGGGAGGAACATTTTTCTTATTATGCTGTGTTGTTGTAATATGTGATAACTCTGCATGGCAATCCTGTAACCACTATATTGATAGTATATTTTATTCTCCAGAATCTTTAACTCTTGTCTATTCATTTCTTTTTATTGTTTATGTATTTCCGTTATTTATTTTTCATCAATGTTTAGGTTTAGTTTCACAAGGTAATTATGTTAAATCTTGTAGAATGCTTTCATCACATTTAGGTATTTTAAGTATATTTTCTTTGTTTGGAACTATAACATTTTGTTCAAAAGAAATTTGTAATTTTTCAATTGAACTACTACAAAATTTTTTAAGATTATTTAATAGTTCTACAGAAAAAAAATATGGAATGACAAAAATATTTATTGATTTAACAAATAAAAAGAAAGATTGTTCTACCATTCCAGATACCATATATGTTGAATCTTTAAATCAATGTATTTCTTTTAGTGATAAATTAATTGTAAATTTTTATGAAAGTTTATGGTTTATAGGAAATAAAGACAATTATATTTATTTAATTATCATTTCTACAATATTTATACTTTTTTGCTATTTCATCTTATTAAAAGAGAATTTCAGAGTTTTCAAATTTTTCATTTTTGTGATAATAATTAATTGGATAACTACGAAATCAGTTGTTATTATGAATACTTTTTTTTCTTACATTCCTCAGCGAAAAAAAATATATGAAGAAATAGTACTTATATTTAAAGAGGTGGGTTTTGTAAAATTAACAATTTTTTTATATGGTACTGTGGCAAGAAGTTCCTCTATTTTTATTTTAAGTACATTCGCTTCTTACTTTCATACTAATACAAATATATTGAAAATCAGTATTTATACTTTTGCATTTTATATTTTAAATATGTATTTCTACTTAAAAAATGAAGCACATGAATATTTTTTGTATAATCAGAATTTAGGTAATAATTCTGAGTTTAATTTCATTAAATGCAACACTTATATAAATTTGCTAAATGAATTAAATAATAAAACAAATCGAATTACTAGTACACCATCGAAAGATGTATATGTGGTTTGGCAAAAATTATGTTTATTTTTTAGCTCATATTCATTTCTATTTTCCACATTATTTATAGTATTAATGCAATTATTAGGACCTTTTAATATTTTAAGTGAAACACATTATAAAAATGAGTATGATAATGAAAGAAAAATATATTCCTACAAATCACTTGTTAAAAAATATGAAAAATATGATTTAAAGCATTCTACCTCCAACAATAGAATATCATCTAAAAGAAAAAGTGTATCTAATGAAACTTTTAAAAATAAAAAAAAATTCTTTTTAAATTTAGATATTTTTAAAAAAAAAAAAAAAAAAGTTACAGAACAAAAAAGTTATTTGGAAGAACAAAATTCCCATAAAACTAAAAGCTTTAAGGAAACGAAATCAAATAAAGAAAGTTCTTTTATTTCTAGAAAAAACAGTTTATTTTTTAATGAAAATTCAAAAAGCCATTTATTATCTGATTTTGTAAGAAGAGGTAGAAATTTCTCATATAATGAAGGGGACTATGATAAAATGAATTTACATTTTGAAGAAAGTTCTTTAGGAAATAGCATTGATATAAAAAGTAATTGTGATAATAATAAAACAGAAAGTAAAAATATAAAAAGTGATAAAATTTCCATTGAAAATAATTCAGATTGTTCTAAAGAAAGTTTAAGTAATGAATCAAAAGAAAAAAGTATATATAATTTTATGAGAATCAAACAAAATAGTAATTACAGTAGTAATAGGGAAAAAAAAAAAAAAATTAACACAAGTAAAACATATAATGAAAATTCAGTAATAACAAATGCTGAAAGAAAAAAAAAAAAAAAAAAAAGCAAAACAAAGAAAAAAGAAGAAAATCGTATAGCTATTTCAAAATTTATGTCAAAATTAAATTACATAATAATGAAAAAATATGGAACTTTTATATTATTTTTTATAATTTATATATTTACTATACTACACATAGTAGACTTTAAAAGGAATAATAATATTGTTAGTGAAATTATTTTATATTCCTTGTACAGAAGTTTTTTAATTTTTATTATCTGTGTTCAGATAATTTATTCCTCATGGATATTTGGAATAAGATTGCAAATGAGTCAGTGTGGGGTTTTAGCATGTTCTCTTAACTTTATTACATGGATTGTAGTATTACCAACTTTATATTTAATATATTTTAAAAAGAAATTATGGATAAACATCTTAATTGTTGGTGTTCTTTTGAATATAATATCAATTATAACATCCTATATAGAAGTAAAGAAAAAATTAAAAGTGCGAGAATCAAATGGAATAAATGAGTGCAATAAATTACTAATTGAATATAGCAAATTTTCTATATTAAAAAAATGCTTATATTGGTTATATTTTGGTAACCTTGAAATTTTAAGAAAAAATATTAACATAGCTATATCGGGAAATGAAGAAAAATATATTCCTTTTTTTTGGAATTTTTTGTTTAAATATATAAACTCTTCAATGTTGATAATTGTAATTATCAGAAATACAAAAGAGTACTTTATTGATATGCTTGATGTTTTTGAGAAAACCTTTAGTTTACAAATAGAATTAATTTCAATTTTTATGGTTTTATTAGGGTCTTTTATTGTTCTTCTTAATAACCTTTATAAAGGTATGGATATAAAAAAAAAAAAAAAAAAAAAAAAAAAAAAAAAATATATATATATATATATATATATATTTATATATATATATGTATTTAATAAGTAAAAGAAGTAGTTACACATATTATGGACATATATTCTAAAATAATTTCATGCATTAAGAATATTTTTTAAACTTATTTTCAAATATGTCATGTTTTTTTCTTTTATTCATTAATATTTTTTATTTTTTATTTTTAGATTATTATAAACCACAAAATGTTATAATTCCATCTATACCTATGGTTTGCCATAATAAAAAGAGATATATTTTTCCAGATTAAAAGATTAAATAATTTTTTTTGTTTCCCTTCATATTTATTTCTTAACCTTTCCTTTTCTTTCCTTTTTATTTTTTTTAATACTCTTTTTTTTTTTTTTTTACATTAATCAATAAATTATTGTACTGTTTTTCATTAATTTTTTTTCTTTCTATTTTACATTAAATCTTCTAAATTATCGTAATCATCATCTTGATTGTTTTTTTTACTTTGGCTATTTTGATTAATTGATGAATTTTCATTACATGAAAAATTAAAAGTATTATAATCTGATTTAAATGGAACATTTGCATAATTCCATTTGTCAGGAATTTGCATAACATTAGCAAATTTAGAAATGTTTTTATTATTATTCATAATATTTTTATTAATTAAATTTTGATTATCAAGTGATTTGTTATTAATAATTAAATTATTTAAATTAAAAGTATTTTCTTGTATTGGATTTTGTTTTTTTAAATCTGAAAAGGGGGATGTTTTACTTGAATCTGTATAATTTGCATCTATATTTTTATTTATATTGTTTTTTTTTAAAAACTCAAGATTCATATCATTTTTATTATATTCATAAATTAATTCTTTTTCATTTTCTCTTATGTTAGGATATTTATTGTCTTCTTTATTTTGACTATTTTTACCAAAATTAAAAAAGTTATTTTTAAATATTTCTTTTTTGGGAGATATTTCTTCTTTTATATTTTGAATATCACTAATACTGCTGCTACTGCTTTTTTCACATATTTTTTTTTTTTCTTTTAAAAATTCGTGTTTAAAATATATATGATAATTGAAACTTTTTTCATTTAAATAACCTTTTTTACAATCATTAAAAGGGCATATATATATTTTATCTTTTATAAATATATAATCAACATCATTTATGTAGCTATTACAAATTAAACAGCTTTGTTGAAGTACACTTAAATCATAGCATTTATTACAAATTATATGATAACATGGGTTAATTCGGATTTTTGAATTAAAAGGTATATTACATATTGGGCAAAAAATAGATGAAGAATGCTGAATTGAATTTATTTTATAATTTATATTTAAACATTTTGATACATTTAATGTTCTATTTCTGTAATTGCCATTATTTATAAATGTATTCATTTTTACTAAAAAAGTTAATAATTCTAATAATTCCAATAAATATTTAAAAAGTTTATAAAAAATATTAAAAATTTAATTTCAACTTACATATATATATATTATTTATATAAAAAAAAAAAAAAAAAAGAAAAAAAAAAAATACTATGTAAAATTTTTAATAACAAATTAAACTTTTATTTTAAAATAGCAATCTTATATGATGTAATAATATACTTACGAGAAAAAAAATAATTTTAAAATTTTATAAATCAGTGGTTTCATATTTCTCATTGTTATATTTTTACTTCATTTTAAAAAAAATTAAATTATTTACATATTAAATATAATAATAAAATTTTATTAAAATGTGACAAATATTAAAAAAAATTTAAAAAAAAAAAAAAAAAATATATAAAATGCTTAGTGAAAATTTATAAAGAGTATATAGCTTTTTTAATGCACATAAATGTTTTAAAAACATATATGAAAAACAAATTTTTAGTACAATTAATTTTTGTTACACTTATTTACTTAAGGAATATATTTTTTTTTTTTTAAATAGAAAAAGGATTATCCAAAACCACAAAAAATATCTACTAAAAAGTAAAATTTTATTATCAATAAATTAGAAATTAATTTAAGAAATAATAAGTTAATGTGTTATTTAAATATTTAAAGTATCTTAATATTTATTCATTATATTTTAAGGAAAATTTAGAGCCTTTAGCTATACCTTTTACAATAGGGAAAGAGTTTTTTTTTTTTTTTTTTTTTTGAGAAAACATTTTCAGAGAAGAAATAATAAAACAAAAATATATAGAATTATAATTTTAATGAATTAAAAAAAGAAATTTTAATTTTAATACCTTTAATAAGATTCTTACATTTCTACAATAATACACAATAAAATATGTAAAATATATTAAGAATAAAAAATAAAAAAAAAATTATACTCCTAAAGAAGTTTTTAAATATAATTAAATTTGTGTGATCAAGTTAAAATTTATTTGTTATTTCCTATTTCTCTTTCTTAATGTTTCTTATGGATTTAAAAATACTTTTTTTTCTCAAAATAAAAATAATATTAAAAAAAAAAATAAAAACTATATCATTCAGATTAGAATATCTTTTTTTTTTTTTTTTTTTATTTATATTAACATATCATAATATTTTTACAAATATATTTCATGTGCATGTAAAAAAAAAAAAAAAAAGAACAACATACTAATGTTAACGTTAGATTGATCAAAATTGATCCTGTTTTCGTTCTAATATGATGTAAATATTTTATTTCTTTTTTTGTAATTATAAAATATATATTATAGGTATATTTAAATGATTATGTGAGAAATAAAATATATTAAAAAAAAAAAAAAAAGGTATTTATATATCTCACATAACAATATTAAAATATTTTTTTCATTTTTTTAATCTATTAAATTAGTTCACACAAATAGAGAAATTACATGCAAATAACAAAATTTCAAAGTTGTAAAGGCATAAAAAGCATTTTAAATAACTTAAATTGTCTAATATATATAATTTTTTTTTTTTTTTTCTATTTCTTTTAATTTGAACTTATTTATAATAGGATATATCCTCATATCTATATTAAAAAAATTTATTTACTTAAATATATGATTCTCTTCAAAAAATTTTTTTTTTTTTATTAACTAAATTATTTATACCTGTCTAATTATTTTTAAGATAGTTGAATTATTTGGAACATCTTTTTTATTTGTTTTTATTTTTTTGTAATTTTTTATATACTCTATTTTTTTGAAAATGTTAAAAAGATGTGCATATTTTTTTTTTGTAATAATAATTGTATTAGATAAATATGGTCTAATACTAAGTAGCTCAAATAATAAAAAAGAAAACAATGAGTTATACTTAACTAGAACAAAAGAATCTTATAATTTTCTTGAAGCATCACTGAATATTATAAATAATAAAGGACCTTCATATAACTCTGTTTTAAACAAATTATCAAATGTTGATCTACCTAATGTACATCATGAAGTGATTAAAAATTTAAAATTTGATAAATTAAAGGAAATTGTAAATATAAAAAATTCTATTTTAAATTGTATTTTAGAATCAGTAAATAAAAAAAAAAAAAAAAAAAAAATTAAATATAATTAGAAATATCCTTATTATAAAATATACTACATATTTAATTTTATATAAATAATATAAAAATTTAAAATATATCATTTAATAATTACTTTTTTTTTTTTTTTTTTTTTTGATATTTAAGATTTTTATTTATTATTTTAATAGGTTTTGCATATGGTTAAAGCGTTACCTGCTATTATTGAAGAAATTCTAGAATATAATGAATTTTGCTCGTCTATTGAAACCCAATTTTCTTTTTTATATGCAGTAGATAATGAGTATCAAGAAAAAATTGAAGATTGCCGTACAAGCACTACCGATAGTATTATAAATAGTTATTTTTCTTTTTATTTAGAAGATATAGATTTAATTGTGAAAAAGTATAAAGAAAAACCAGGAGATATTTTTAATAGATTTGATAGTATAGTAGAATGCTTGGATGAATTTTACAAAAAAGTTACTAGACCTTTTAATGAACATGTTAAAGAAACGGAACTATTTAAAGATTTTATGACAAAATATATAAAACCACCAGGTTCAACTTACGTAGATTACTTAAAAGCTTTCCTTGATAATTTTGATTCGAACTGGTCTAATGAAAAAATAACAGGATTTTTTGATGAACTATATTATATTTATTCAACAAATAATTCATACATTTCTTGTTTTTATCTAATTTAAAAAAATATCTATATATTAGAATTTTTGTATACATTTTTTAATCAAGAATTTTTTATATTTATTTCTTGAATTTCTATCTAAAAAAATTATGTATATAAAATGTTTTAGAAAAAATGAAAAATGAAAACAAATCAATATTTGTTTTGTTTTATTTTTCTCTATTAATTCTAGAAAATTCATATTTACATATAATATTATATGCTACATAACAAAAATACTAACAAAAAAAAGTTTTTTTTCTAATTTTTCTTGTATCAATATAAAAATTACAATTAACTGTTACATATATATATTAAAAAAAAAAAGAAAAAAAAGAAAAACATATATATATATATATATATATATATATATATATATATTATATATAGCTTAATTTTCTTATTCCTAAGGTTTCTTCAAACAGTCTAACACTCCTCAAAAGAATGTTTGAATTTATTCTTTTTTCTAATTGAGATACTTTTAATGCTCTTTGCCAATGTTTGTTAATTAAAAAAAAAGAAAGAAAGATTGATGAAACAAAAAGCATTTGATTAAAACGACTTCTTAGAATTTTTTTAAATAAAAGATAAAGAAATCCTTTTTTTTTTTTATTATCTTGAATTTGACTAATAGCATTAGAAGCTACTTCTGTTTTATTATTAATAATAATATTTTGAGGTATAACTTTTGATGAATTCATTAAATGGTTAGATAATAATTGTTTTTGTAGATTTACATTCATCATTTGCAAAACTAAAACATCATTTTTTAATTTTTTGAATTCGTTATAAAGAATATCTTCTTTTACTTCTTTATTTTTTAAACATATATCTTCACTTATTTCATTACTATTATAATTTAATAAACTTTTCTTATTTATATTATTATAATCATAAATATTTTTCAAATCGTTATTTTTATCTTTTATTTCTTCTACACTTTTTTCATTAAAGTTGTTGTAATAAGAATAAATTAGCTGTTCATGAAAATCCTTTTTCATCCTATCAATTAATTCTTCATTTTTATTTATTTTTTCGTTTTCTTCTTTATCTAAATAAACTTTTCTTCTATCATTTTTTACTTCCTCTTTAAAATATTTTGAATCTCTTCTATAAATATTATTAAACAAATTACTGTTTAATAAATTAAATTTATTTTTAATAAAATAATCATGCATTATTACAGCAGAAAAAAAAAAAACTGAAAGAAATTCAAATATAATGGAAAAAATAATTCATAAGAATAATTAAAGAAAAAAAATTTATAAAGTTTAAGAGTAAAATTATGAAAAATTTAAAAGGAAAAAAGAATTAATTTTTTTCATAATGAAAATAAGAAAGTTTTTATTAAAAAATTATTAAAATTAAATAATTTGTTCTGAATTTATTAGCACTTAAAATATATTGGGGCATTTTCAAATCATACTAATTAAACTTTTTTATATATATATATATAAAAAAAAAAAAAAAAAACAAGAAAAAAAAAATATATATATATATATATATATATAAATTTATAAATAGCTACATATAAATATGTATATATTTATTTATATATAAAATAAATTAAGTTTAAAATATTAAGAGAAATAAATTTCTAGAAAACGTAAAACATATACCTTATTGTAAGAACAAAATTATATTTTTTTAATATTTACACACATATATATATATATATATATATATATATATATATATATATAAAAAAGTTAAAAAAGATAGAAAATATTAAAAAAACAATAATATAATATACTAATGAAAGGTAAAAATTAAAGCATTAGAATATTATAAAAATTGTGAATAGGAAAAGAAGAAAACAGTTGTATAATAAATTAATGCCATTCATTTATTTAAAAAAAAAAAACAAAAAAATTCTTAAATAAAAATTTAGGTAAAAGTATTTAAAGCTTTTTTTAAAATTTTGTAAAATTATCTTTAAGATATTAAAAAAGGAAGAAAACATAGTGTATGCAATTAAAAGAAAAAATTATTTCGCACATTTAAAAATATTTGAAGTAATAGTATTATATTAAAAGAATTTAAAATAAAAATTTATATATATATATATATATATATATATATAGAGCATTATGAAAATATGTAAAAATGTAGATAATTATAGATAGTAAGAGAATAATAAAAATGACAAGTTTGTTTCAAATATCGAGTATTTTTAATAAAATAAATAAAAAACAATATTTCAACTATTTTAACTTAATAAATAAAAAAAGTTTACTTATGAATGATATAAAATTGCGTTATATAAGTACGGGTATGAATAATTTTAACCTAATAATTAATAAAAATATTAAGAATAATATCAGTAAATTTAATTTAATAGATAAAAAAAGAATATTTATGAATAATATTAGACAATGTAACGTATATACAAATATGAGTATATACAAACAAAATGATAATGGTAATTGTTTTCTTAAAATATTTAAAAGAAATAAGATGGTAAAAACGAGTTCTTATAGGAGAAAAAGTAGAAGTTCTCCAAATGGTCAAGGTCAAAAGGCAAAAATAGGAATTAAAAGATTGAGTGGTGAATATGTAAAAACAGGACAAATGTTAGTAAAACAAAGAAAAATTATAGCATTTAATTATGAAAAAAAGACAAGAAAAAGAAATTTCAAATATTATCCTGGTGAAAATGTAAAAGTTTCAAAAAATACAAGTTTAATTGCTTTAACAAATGGAAGAGTTAAATACACTTTTCATGTTTTACAAAATATTTTAATTGTAAACATATTACCAGAAGAGTTAGAAGAGTTAAAAGAAGAAGATTTATATAGGTATAGAACTGAGCATGTAAAATCATTTGAAGAAAATAGAAGTTTAGTTTATTTAAGAATGAAAAATATTATTACATTTCCCAAATTTAAGAATACTCAATATATTAAACCACCATTAAAACCACAATTTCTAACAAAATATGATATTTATGATAATCCAACTCTTCAAGAAGTTCCCATATTATATCATAAAAAAAATTGAATTTCTTAATTTATCAGAACAAATATATATATATATATATATAAATTATTTAACTGAAATAAAATTTAAAGCTATCAATATAATTCAAATTTTTTTTTTAGATATATTTGTTTCACATTTATATTATTTGAAAAATTTAAAATTTATTAAAGTAAAAATAAAAATTTTAATTAGTAGAACAAAAAAAAAAAAAAAAAAAAAAAAAAAAAAAAATATATAAAGAGAATAAAATTTAATTCACACAAAAATTTTAAATATATATAAAGCTCATAGCATCTATATCTTTTAAAATAATTTTTTATTTTTTTCATAATTGAAAAATAGATTTTTTTTTATTTTAAAATTTTAAAATTTTATTATATTTTTCATAATGATTATTATTAAATTTCATATGTATGTACATGTTGTATTAAGAGGAACAATCACTATTAAAAAGATTCGTATAATAATCATTAAAAAAGAATTTATTATATATATAGTTTAATTCATTATTTTGAAATTTTTTTATTTGAATAATTAAGTTGTCTCTATTAATGTAAAACTTTTTAATAATATTTTGCGCACTTAATGATGTTAAGATAACAATATTATTTTCTAAAATTTTAAAATTCTTGTCAAATGTAGACGAAAAGCTAGCTTCAGTTCTGCTATGAAGAAATGGCATTAAAGAATTCATAATATTTTTTAATACATCAATAATATTTATAATGTTAAAAATAATTTTACTTAATGAAAAAAAATTGGATGATAAAAAAGAGAATTTAAATACATGTTGTACAAAGGATTTGTGGAATTTTATTAAATTGTGAAATTTGTTAATTTTAAGTATGTTATGAATGAAAAAGAAATAATTTCTATGGATATTCATATTTATTAAATAGTCATAAATATAATTTATTATAAGTTTCATTTCACATCTTATTTTATTAAAATCATTTAAAACATCATTGAATATTTTTACATTTTCTAAAAATTTGTCCATTTTTTTGTAATATAAAAATTTTTTGTGAAATCCAACATTAAAAAAACTTTGTTTCGTTATGAAAACGTTACATAAATTTTTAGTTATGATGCATTTTTCTTCAAATGTATTTTCTTCATTTAAATTATTTTTATTTGCTATATTTTCAATTATATGCATATATTTAAAATCATTATAATTAATTTTATTATTCTTTTTTTCTTCGTCTAAATATTTATATATATATGGTTTTGAATATGTGGAAAAAATTAAAAATATATCATTTAAATTGTTTAAGGAAAAATATAATAATGAAGTTAACCTGTATATATTATTATAATAATTTATAACGTCTTCATCAAAAAATATTTTCAAAGAATATGGTACATTTATTCGAAAATTTATGTAAAAAAATTTTGTTGATAAATTTTTTGCTGTATAAAAATTTTTATTTAAATAATGATATACTAATTTTTTTCTATTATTAATATTGTATAAGTTATTTGTATTTACATCTTTATTTTTTTTATCATATAATAATGAATATAAAAATTTATAATTCTTTTCACTCTCACAAAATAAGTAACATTTCAATAAACATAAATAAATTAAAAGATTCTTATTTATTAAAAATGAATAAACAAGAATTTTATTTATATTATCATAATGATTATTAATAGGAATGAATATATTTCTATAAAGAAAATAATTTATACTTTTTATTTCAAATTTGTGTTTACTTACTTTTTTTTTTTTTTTGTAATCTTTTTTTTTGTCTTTTTTAATTGTTTGATTAATTTCATTTAATGTATTATTATTATTATTATTATTATTATTATTATTATTATTATTATTATTATTATTATTATTATTATTATTATTATAATTATTATAATTATTATAATTTTTTAAATTTATTTCCTCATTTCTTTCATGTATTAGTCTCATATCATTTTTGTTCCATCCTTTCATATTAAATGTTATTACATTTTCTAATTTTTCATCACCACTATAATTTATATTAAAGGCTAAAATATTATTCCTTCTATATTCAATTGATGAGTTACTATAATTATCATTTTCAGAAAAAGTAAATATTTGTTCAGAATAATCAGAAATGTAAGAATATTCATTATCGTAGTATTCACTTAAATAGTCAGAATTAGAGAATTTATTAAAATGATTAAAATTAGGATTATCATTTAAATTTTTTATTAATAGAGAATTTTCGAAAGAAGAGATGTTATTTAAAAAATTTTCAACACTCCTAAATTTTTTATCTTTATTTTCTTTTTTAACTTTTTCATAATTATTTTCCATAAAATTATTATCTTTATATGAATAAAATTTCTTAATTTTTTTAAGCTTACATTTTTTTTCTTCTAATTTACTTTTTTTATTAATTATTCTTGAATTATTTAACTTAATCAAATTGCATAACTTTTTTCTTTCCTTCTTTTGTACATGTAGTGCATTTTTCTGAATTGTATTTCTATCTTTAATAAAATTGTTACATTTTATATTTTTATTTACTTCAATAATATTATCATTTAATAAACTGTAAAATCGTAAAAAATAATATTGTAATTTCTTATTTATATTTCTTTTTGTTTTTTCATAAACAATTTTTGACTGTTTTTCATTATTCCAATATTTAATAAAAATATTAACATAATTTTCATTTTTTTCTACTTTTTTGTAGCGAGAATTATTATAAAAATTTAAAAAATTTATAATTTTATTTATTGAAAAAGAACATAATAATTTTACAATATCTGCTTTTTTAATATCATTAAATTCATTTATATCTTTTTTAATATTTTCTTTCTTTTTTCTTAGAGATATTATATTTTCTACATTTTCATAATTTATATTTTTTGGTATAGCTAGATAAAAATCTTCTTCACTAGCTATTCTTAAAATTTGCGATAATATACCTATGAAAAAAAAAAAAAAAAAAAAAAAAAAAAAAATAAACTCAGAAATATATATATCAAAACGAAATTTATTAATTACAAAAAAATTTAACATTTGCAATAATACATATATAAATATACACACATAATATAACCTGTATTGTAAACTATTTCAATAGAATATTTTAAAAAAATTGGGAGAGAAATAATTGTGTTAGATAATAAATACTTTTTATCATAATATTGTGTCTGGTTATGATAAACATAAAAAAATTGATTGACTACATTTTTATTTATAATATATTCAAAATAATAATCTTTATTTAATCCCATATATACGTATGAATAGAGAAAATGTAAAAATGGTTTGATTATTCTTAAAAAAATGTAGTTACATAATTTTATGAGATTTTTTTTATTAGTATTAATAAATAAATAATAATATCTATAAATGTAACTTAATAATTCATTTCCTCTTGGATAAATGAATAAATTATAATTTTGAATATTTATTTTTTTTAGCAAATATTTATTAGTATGATCTTTCTTATTATATAATTCATTAATATATAGTACTTGATTAGTCTCATTACCTTGATGAATATTATTACTTTTTTTTAAAATTTTGCTTTCATAATTTTGATGAGATAAACCATATATAATATTAGAAAAGTAGTTATATTCTTGTATTTGCTTACATTTTTCCATAGAAAAATTATTAATATTATTAATATTATTAATATTATTAAAAGAATTTTTATAAAATTTATAATATTTTTTATAAAATATTTCGCTATCATATATATAACCAGAACATAAGAAGCTTAAAAATTCTACACATTCAGTGTATTTTTTAATTTTATAATATATATCTATTGGACTTTTTATACATTCTTCAAAAATAATTCTTCTTATTTTTTCTTCATATAATAATAAATATTTTCTAATTGAATTAATAAAAGAAATAAATACTTTTCCTAATGGTATTTCCTCTTCAGAATATAAGTGATTATTTTTTTTTTTTTTTTTTTTTTTTTGTTCTTCTCTTTCATTATTTATGATATTAATATCTTCCATTATTTTTTTTGTAAAAATATTTTTTGAATTAAGAGATTTTTTTTTTTTTTTATAAATAATTTTTGTAAAAACAAGAATAAAAATTTTTATATATCTAATTAATGTTCCTATTTTAGAAAAGTAAATAAATACGTGTAGATATTTTTGATAAAAAAAGGATGAAAAATAATTATGAAATGGTTTGAAATAAAGATGGAATATTTTCGTGTTCTTTTTTCTAATCCAAAATGCTATATTCTTATCAACACATATAACATTTTTACTAATATATATACAACCATTCTTAAAATTTTTTGTTTTTTCTTTATAAATATCTACTATATTTTTATTATTACTATCATAATAACATGAAAATATTTCGTTTTCATATCCATTTAAACAGTTTAATATTTTATGTTTCCAGTTCATGGTATCATTAAATTTATTATAATAATTTCTACTGCAAAAAAAAAAAAATCTTTTTAAAATTAAAAATCTATATTCTTCTATTCTATTATTTATACTACTTATTATATTTTTATGTAGAGTAACATATATACTATTAATTATACTCAAAAAATAATTTTTATGTTTTTCTTTTTTATCTATTACAATTTTCCTTTCTAACATTTTTAAAACAGATGTATCATTCATAAAAGATTTCATCCACATAAAATTGTCTTCAATTTTATTTGTATTATGTAAATTGTCATTAGAAGCATTCATATCTTCATAAAATATATCAATGATCTTATTATTATTTTCTATATCTTTTTTATTTTTACAGTAATTATAAATATTTATGTAATCTATATCTTGTAATTCCAGTTCATCTTTATATATATCATCAACATTGAAAGTAAGAATTTGGCTAACATTATAATACTTTATGTTGAATGTGTTATTATAATTACAATTATTAAATTCTCTTTTTAAGATTTTTCCTTCTATATATTTCTTTATTAAAATATTTTCATTTATATCATTATTTTCTATAAAATTATTGTAATTTTTAGAAATCATAGAAAAATTATCTTTACTTGTAGAAATATTAATATCCTCATTATATAATGATAAATATTTATTATTATTAAATATATTAAAATTATTGTAGAATTTTTCTTTTATACTAATATAATTATTGTTTTCATTATCATATAAAGACATTTTAGAAAAATTTTTATCTATGTAACTTGTAAAATATTCATTATTACTACGATTATTTATATTATTACTACGATTATTTATATAATTACTACAATTATTTATATAATTACTACGATTATTTATATAATTACTACGATTATTTATATAATTACTATTATAATCATTTTCATTATTAACTGATAAAAAAGAAAAGTTGTATAAAGGAAAACTACCATCATTTGAAAAATTGAAATCATTGTTATTTTTTTCTTCTTTTAAAATATGTTGTTTATATATTAATGTTAAACTATTTATTTCATTTAATTTCATAATATATTTTTTAGTATATTCATTTTGAAATAATAATATATAATCACAAATATTTTTATATTTATTTATACTTAAATCATAATTTATCTCATTAAAATTAATTCTAACTCTTAAATTTAAAAGTAAATTAAAGGACAACTTACTAATATTTCCAATTTTAATATTTTCATTAAATTCATCAAAATTATAAAATTTTTTTATCTGATTGAAATCAAAGTTATCTTTTTTATTTATTTCATCTTCATCTAAATTATTCAAAAAATTAGATAATAAAAACAGTAAATTTAAAAAAGATTCATGAGAGGTAAATTTTAATACTGTATTTTTTTTTATTATTAATTTATCTACTGAAAAGTAACATTTAAAATATAAATATAAGCAAATAAAATCTAAATAATATTTATTTTTTATTAGTATAAAGCAATAATAAATCATTGAAGTATATAATTTTGTTAACACAAGTATATTTTGATTTGAATTACTTTTTTTATAACTTATTTCAAAGAAATCATCTGTATATTTCATATATTTATTTTTTCCATTGATTAAATTTAAATTTTTAAAATTATGATTAATATTATCACTTTTATCTTCTTTAACACAATCATTTCTTTCATTTTTTAAATTGTTCAAATTATTTGTATTATTTTCATTATAATTGTCAAATGAGCAATCGCTATTTTCATTATAAATGTCAAAACTAAATTTCTTCTTTTCTTGATAATGTTTTTTTAGTAATTCATAGAAATAATTATAGCTATTAGAACATATATCAAATAAATATTGATTATTAACATATTTAGTATCATAGTTATATTTATAATTGTAAAACGTACAAAATAAATTAAAATTTGTTTTCGTTTTATATAAAATATTGGCGTATATAAATTTTTTTATATCTAATTTTATCTTTTTTAATATTTCTTCATTTTTAATGGGATATTTATTCGTTTCAATATCACACCAATTATCTATAAGGTTTAATAAAGATAAATTATTATATTCACCTTTTATTTCTTTATTTAAATAATTTTTTTTTTTTTCAAAGAAATCAACATTTAACATTTTAATCTATAAAGAAGTAAAATATATATATATATATATATATTTATTGTTATAAAAGATAGTTATATAAGCATACACACATTTTAAATTTAACAAATATAAAAAGTATTCTTCTTAAACTAGTAAAAAAAATAAAAGAGATAGAAGAAAATTACTTTTAATTTTATAAAATATATAAAAAAGACAAAAAAAAAAAAAAAAAAAAATTCTTATAAAATTATAGTTATATATATATATATATTTTTTTTTAATATTTAGATCTAATGTATTTTTTTTGAAAGTATGTAAAAATATGAAAATAAAAGAAAAAGAAAAAAAAAAAAAAATATAAGTAAAAATTATAACTTAAAAAATTAATAAGAAAATGAAATGATTTTATTACCCATTTCTTTTTACTGTTTACATGAAGGATAACAATTTAAAAAAAAAAAATTGAAGTAGAAAATGTAGTATGAATTATTTGGTCAGTTAAACATTTTTATTTTATATTTTTTTTTCGGTGATTACAATTACAAAAATATTAATAGTCAAATAGTAAAAAATATAAAATAACAAAAAATTTAATAAAATATAAAATAACAAGAAATTTAATAAAATATTACTTATTATACTTTGTTATATTTTATTTTTATTAAATATATATAAAATTATAACGGCACGTATTTTTATTATTCTAAAATTTTATACATCAATAAATTTATGCAAATGTTGATGCTTTAATAATTAAAAAAAAAAAAATGTAAAGATTACATTTTTTTAGTAAGATGTTTTGTATTTTTTTTTTTTTTTAAAATATCATTTTATATATGAATATTTCAATCTAATAATGAAAATTTTTATTTTATTACCTATGCTTTTTTATGTTTCTAAAGGTTATAATAAAAAACGAATATCAAAATAACATAAAATGATTTTTACTGATAAAAATACATTGATATAATTTAAATAAAACACACATGTATGATAATTTATTATTTATTTTTATATTATAGGAATACGTAATAAAATTTGGGAAAAAAAAGTGACTAAATCATTGAAGATGAGATGCTTTATTAAAAAACACATACAAGTAGTAATAAAAAAAAAAAAAAAGAGAAATAGTATATTAATATTAAAGCTTCATTCCCTATATTTTTATAAATATTCTAATAAATACATACAAATTTTATCTACATTTTTATTTTATATAAAAGTTATTTTACTCATAGATACTAGGAAGCTTTTTTATTTTTTATTTTTTTTTTTTTTTTTCTTTTTTCTTTTTTTTGTCCATTTTAATTAAAAATATTTTAAAAATGTTTGGAAATTTTTTTTTTTTTTTTTTTTGTGTGTGCATTTAAAATAAGATATTTTAATGGAGTTATGATATATTTATTTTTTTTGATAAGGAAAAAATAAAAAATAAAAATATTTGCATTACATATTATTTTATTAGATATATTTTTTAATATTTTATTATATAATAGTATTCATTAGTATTTTAATTTTATTATGTAAAATGTATCATTTTTATAAAAACAGAATATATAATTTTGATTTGTATATTTGAATAAAAAAATAAAAAAAAAAATATAAAGTTATATAAAAAAAAATTAGTTTATTTTTATTTTAATTATAAAAAATATTATTAAACAAATATATATGATATTTTATATATATGTGTATATGTGAATTTATTACTAAATATTTATTCGTTATAATATAAATAATTAATAAATGAATTAGTTATTTTATTTTTTTTTTTTATAATTAGGAAGTTATCTTTGTTTATTTTTTAAAAAGGCTTATTTTATGCAAAAATATTATTTTTTATATGTTAAAATAATTATGCTTAATTTTGTCAATATGCAAATATGCATGAATTAAAAATTAAAAAAACATATTCATAGTTTTCATTTTATGTGGTAGAATAAAATTATAATAAAAAAAAAAAAACATATTTTATATCTAAATTATTAATTTTTTTCTTTTTTTTTTTTTTTTTTTGCATTATAAAATAAATAAAATAGGAATACATAATTAAGTATATTAGTATTTTTGTTTTTTTATTATCTCAATTTGCATACAAACATTTTTATATTTTTATATTTGTTTTTAAGTATTTCCTTTTTTCATATTTGTAACCTTAATTTTAATCGTTGTATTTACATAAATTTATTAATATACTTATAAAACTAAGTATAATAAACAAATATAAATTTTATAATTTATTAAAATATATTATATGCTTATATATATATATATTTATATATATATATATGTAATTCTATTTGAGACATATATTTAAAATTTTTTACTTAATTTTATTAAAAGTTTGTACGATTTGCTAAATACCTTATAGTTTTAATATATAATTAGAAAAAAAAAAAATTAAAAAAACATATAATTAAATTATTTCATTAATTTTTACATCCATAAGACTTCATATGAAGTATTAACTTTTTTAATTTTTAAGTATAATATTGATTGTATATCTTATATTTTTAAGTTAATAAAAGTTTCGTAAACAAATTTTTTTTTTTTTTTATATACATATGTTAATAAACTTTTTTTTAGAATAAGTTTGGAAATTTTATGAAAATGAGAATGAAAAAGATGATAATAAACTCAGATAATAATAAAGTATTAAATAAGGATCATAAAGATGATTATCATTTGGAAACAAATAATGAATTAAAGGTTAACTTAAATTTTCATAATAATAACATAATTTCAAATATTTTCTCAAATTTAAGTTTATTTGAAAAAATAAATAACATTTTTACCATTGAAGGTAAAACATATATGCTAAAATATTGCAATAATTTAAATGAGGATGATTTTAATATTTCATATTATCAAAAAGTAGATAAAAATTTTATTCCTATATCACCATGGCATAATTTAAATTTAATGAATGAAGATGGTACATATAATATGGTTGTTGAAATAACTAAATACAATTATATTAAATTAGAAATAAAGTTAACAGAAAAATATAATGTTATTAAACAAGATAAAAAAAAAGGAAAATTAAGATATTATCATAATTCAATATACTGGAATTATGGGGCTTTACCTCAAACATATGAATATCCGAAGCATATTTATAATTATAGGGCAAAAGATAATCAACAAATTTTTTTTACTGGTGATGATGATCCATTAGATATAGTAGATATTGGACAAAATAGTTTAAAAATGGGTCAAGTTGTTCCTGTTAAGGTATTATTTAAAAAAAAAACACACACACATATATATATATATTGCATAACACACACATATATATTGCAATTATCATTTTTTATTATTTCTTAATTTTTTTTTTTTTTTTTTTTTTTTTTTTTGGTTCAGATTTTGGGAGCTTTTACTTTAATTGATGAAGGACAACTTGACTGGAAAATAATAGGAATTAATGTAAGTTAAAATTAAAAGGAAAAATATGTGTTAAAAATATGTATTAACTATTTTTTTTTTTTTCTTTTTTTATAGAAATATGACAAAAATTTTAATAATATTAGTAATTTGGATGATGTTGAAACATATTACCCTCATACCATGAATTTATTATTAGAATGGTTTCGTTCATATAAAATGGCAGAATCGAAAAAACTAAACATTATATGTAAAGAATTATATAATAAAAAAGAAAGTGAAGATTTAATAAAAAAAACTCATGAATATTATTTAGAATTTTTAAAGGATGTAAAACTTCTTAATTCTAACAAAAAAGATACAAATGTATATAAACATAGTCATAATGATAATATAAATACAAATGAGTATAATCATAATGACTTTTTAAATAAAATACATGATGACTCCATATATAATAAATTATTACAGAACATACACGTTTCATATTGTAAAGCAAATCCTTCTTATAGGCCAAATGGTAATATTTGGATACCTTAAAATTTTAGGAAAATAGAGTATAATATCAGAATCAAAATTTTATATCCATTAAATTAAAAATTAGAAAAATTCATAAACATAAAAAATGTTCAAAAAAAATATATATATTTAAAAAAATTATAATGTTAAACTAAAATATTAAATAAAAAACTATTTCATACACAAACTTGATAAAAAAATTCATAATATTTTACTAATTAAAGACATTAAATAGAAAAAAAAAAAAAAAAAAAAAAAAAAATATTATTTTCTTTAACTAAAGATTTTTTTTTTATGATTTTTTAAATATAGATCCCCACATATATTTATGGTTACTGTCTTTATAAATGTTATATATTAGGCAATATTGTGTTTTTTGAATTTTTTGAATATCATGATCGTCTGAATTATTAATCTCATAAACTGGATATTCTGATTTATTTTTTCTTTGCGCATTTTCCTTATTTTCGTTATCACTTAACAACCACACAGAATCAGAGGAATTAATTGGGTTACTAAAAAAATCTTTGATAATTGTGTGATTAAAAATAGAAAGAAAAAAAAAATTATTATCAATATCAACAAAAATATCATTTTTCTTAACATATGGACGTAGTGGAAAATATAAGGAAAAACTATGTATATTTTCTTTCCATATATAATATTTGGTTATTCCTTCTATTGTTTCTCCTAAATCATATCCTTTTAAACTTTGTTTTTTTTTTATATTTTCCGTATAACCTCTACTATATTTGTTTTCACTCATTTCTTTCTTCAGATCATCAAAATATTTATCTGTTTTCTTTTTATGATGTGCATTTAATTGAGGATATAAATCATCCCACATGTAATGATTTGGATTATATTTCATTTCATTTTCTAATTTCTTTAATAAAAAATCAGTTTTTATATCTAGTTCTTTTTTTTTCTCATATTCTTCAGATCTCCTTATTATTTCTTCTCTTCTTTTATTAATTTTTTCATTGTTTTTCTCATTACTTATATCGAAACGTTCTGTTTTATCACTTTCATTTTTATTACCAAGAATTTCTGTTAAACTATTTTTATTATTACTTGATAGTTTATTTTCTGTTTCTTTTATCGCTGCATTTTTAGTATCTAATTCTTTTTCATTTATATTTTTACTATCTTCTTTTTCAGTGTTATCCTTTCTATTTGATTCTTCTATGTTAGGAATAACTGTATTTTCATTACTTGTTAAATTTATTAAATTGTTAGAAGAATCTATAGAATACTCTTTTAAAAAGTTTCCTGATTTTTCTTCATCTGAAAACATTTCAGGTGTTATACCAATCCAATTTTCATTCATACCATATATATTACATAAATATATTTCCATTTTTATCCAATTTTCATTTGTTATGACATCATAAATACTCTTCTCTTCATTATTTGCTGGTTCTTCTGGATATGAAAAATTTTTAAATAATAAATTGTTCTTAATGTAAAAAATAGATTTTTCTAATTTTTTCATAGTTAGGATGCATTTTTGTATTATATGATGACTATATATAAGAGGAAATTCCAACATAGTAGAATTGGTTTTTTTATTGTTTAGTATTACTGTATCGCTATATGTATCATAAATATTGAACTCAACAGTTACATTTGATTTCATGTATCTATTTTTATCAATATAATAATTTTCATCTGAATTAAATATATGATGTGACAAAATTTTTTCTATTTTTTTATCATATTTTTTATCACTCTCATCACATATATTTTTTTCTTTTTTTTTATCTTCAATTAATTCATCTTCTCCTTCAGTAACTAATTGCTTCAATATATTTCCTTTATTAAATGAAAAAAAATATTTACTTAAATTTTTTTTATTATATAACTTTAATGTTTCTATTTCATTTCTTACATTTTTATCATTTTCATCAGATTTATCAAAAAAAAAATTATTTAAATATTTCTCCTTTCTATATTTATCATAATCATTAGAAATATCCCTTTCTCTTATATCTTCTTCTCCTTTTTTTTTTTTTTTTTTTTCATTACTTTTTAAAAAACTTATATACGTATTTTTCATCCATTTAAATATAACATCCACTAAATTTTTTGAACAACTATAAATATTGTCTTTATATACATACTTTAATATATCATACATACGTAAATCCAATAATTTATCTGAAAAAACATCTTCCTCTTCTTTCATATTTTTTATAACCATTTTTTTTTTGCTTTCTTCTCTTTTTTGAATTATATCATCTTCTTTTCCTTTTATATAATTTTCAGCCCTTTTCATTGCTTTTTCGAAATTCTCGTTATTTTTTTGATTATTGTCACTTGTTATTGTATTATTTTTATCAGAAATGGCATTCTTGCTATTTTCTTCATCATTTATATTTTGTTCATTTTGCTTATTATCTTCTCTTATATTGTTTTCATTTAATTTTTTATTGTCTAAATATACATTTTCTTTATCAGAGATTAATCTTTCATTTGTTACACAATTTTCTTTTAATTCATCTTTGCTTGATGGAACTAATTGAATATTGCTTTCTACAATATTTTTTTCTGCTTTATTTTTTTTATTTGTATATGCTTTGCTATTATCCTCATTTGGTAAGCTGGCTGATTTATCAAAATTATTATCTTTTTCATATTTAATATAATTATTATGATGAAAATTATTTTTTCTACATTTATAATTGAAATAAAATTCTTTACATTTTGTTTTCTTACTTATACGATTTAATATGCATACTTTTTTTAGAATACTATTTTCTATGAAACATTTTTCATTAAAATTTTTAGTATTATTTTTTACAGAATATTTTTTCTTTATATTATAAAAATAATATAGATAATTATTGTTCTTTTTTCTACTATTTATATGTATTTTATTTTGAAAAAAATGATTTAAACTCAATTCATATTTACCAATTACATGGTTGAACAATATAAGAGTTGTATATATTCTTATAAATATCCATAATATGCTCATTATAAAAATACTTTAATTTTTTTATAATTATCTATTTCTTGTGGCATATTGAAAGTGAAAAAATTTAAAGGAATTATACATAATAATACTTTTGTTTTTATTTTATTCTTTCCTCTTTTTTATTAATTAAAAAAATAAAATTCTTTATAATTTTTTTTTATTTTTCATTCTCTTAACATTAGATATAAATGTATAAAAATTACTATTTAATATATTTAATTTGAAAAAATATATGTGGTGTATTTATTTTGTTAATACTCCCAATGTTATTAATTATATAATATCTTCAATATTAATTTACTTTATTTTTAGAAAAAAATATTCATCATTGTCTCACAATTCAACTTATCTTTTTTATTATAATTTAAAAATTATAGTAGTATGTTTTAATTAAAGTTTTTTATGAGTAATTAAGTTTTTCATATGAACATACATAAATGAAAAACTTTTCGGTTTACAAATAAAATAAAAAAAATACGTTAAAAAGTGAAGTTAAAAAAAAAAATAGATTTTTTTTATTTCTGAAAATAATTTATGAAGTATTTTATTAAAATAAAAATATTGAAATAAAAGGATAAAAATTTCATGCGAACAATAAATGTAAAAGATTTAAATACATTTATATTTGAATTTCTCTAGATAGAAAATTCATACATATAATAATAAAATTCTTCAAAAAAAAAAAAAAAAAAAAAAGTGTTACATTCATCTATAATAATATTATTTTAATTATGTAATAATAATAATTATTATTATAATTATGTTTTTATTTTCTTTTGTTTTATATTTATATAAATTAAAAAATAGATATTTTTTTAATGATATTTGCTCAATTAGAAATAAAAAATATACTACATTATGTGTGTGCTACTTTTAAAAAAAAAAGTTTAATTAAAATTTTAAAATAATAAATTAATTATATAATTAATATTATAATTCACAGAAACATTCAATAATTTTTTTTTCCTCTTAATCTTTTTTATATTACGATGATTAGAATTTTAAAATAAAAAAAATGACCATGCAATATATATTTTATGATACATTCATAAAATAAAAATATAAGACATAATAAATCCAAAAAATATTTATAAATTCTCCAAAAAATTAAATTTTTTTTTTTTTTTTTTAAATTATATAAAGTTATTTTTTATGCATTTATAAACTTACCTTTCTTAAAAATATGAATAAATAAATACTTTCATTAAATACTTTAATGCAATATGTTATTCATTAAAGCTATATTCATGTATTATGTAAATAAAATTTCATAAGTAATTTTATGAAAAGTATATAATTAAGAAACAAAACAAAAAAAATATAAAAATTTTGTCATTGTTTGCTCATAGTAAAATTATATAATTCTTTAAGTAGTTCATGATTTACTTAATATAAGATTTTATTTGTAAAAAATAAAAAAATGGTGATTTACTTGTATCTTTAAAGATTAATTTTTATTAATAATATGAACGTTCATAAAAAATAGTTATTAACAATCAGCAGCAAATACAGAAAAAAAAAAGTGTTCATATATTTATTATATAGCTAAATTATATACTTGTACAAATATATTTTTTTTTTTTTGTACGTTTAATTTTTAAATTTAATTTAACATCTTAAATTTTGCTTATAAGGAATTAAATATTTTAATAAATTTTAACATTCGTAATTTTTTATATTAATATTTGAATTTTAATGTATATGAAGAAGATAAAATATATATAGCAAAATGAACATAGGAAATGAAATAGTTCCTAAGTATGGATTTGAAGAAATGAAAAATGAAATAAGCAAGTATGGGGTGGAAATTACTCAAAGTACACTAAAAAATCCAACAACAGAGGACGTACAAGGAGTTTATAGTATATGCATAAAATATATTTTAAATAAAGATATTAATAATATAAGAATTGAGGAATTTACTGGAGATTTAAAAAGTTCTATGCCTTCAATAGATGGTATTCAAATATTACCGAATGAGGGGAAAAATCATTTGCAAGCTATAGGTAATTTAAGATTTATTAGACATTGTGAAAAAATTAATAAAATTTTAAATTTAGATAATATATTAAGCTATATATTTAAACCAGTAAGCAGTCATATAACAAAGTTAATCAGTGCTTTTATACATTTTATGAAATACAAAGAAGAAATATATAATGAAAATGATGCAAAAATAAAGAAAATTCAAGAGAAAAAAAATGAAGACAACATTTTAGAAAGTGAATTAAAAACTGTTGATAGTGAATTAAATATGTTACTTGGAAGACATGATGAGGTAAAAACTAGTATTATTAACGAAAAAAGCACTAAAAGAAATTATGAAGAAGAAATTATAGAAAATCAAAATTTACTTAATGCTCAGCAGAGCATAATTATATCTTTAAAATCAACTAAAGACAAAATAATCAATGAAACAAATGAATTAATTTTCCAATTTTCAAGATTAAGGCAAAAAAAAGAAGATTTAGAAGATCAAATAGTTCCTTCACCGGAAAAACTACAGCAATATAATGAAGAACTAAAGGATTTATTATCAGAACATATGTCTTATTTTGAATCAGATAAAAAAAAAAATGAGGAAATTAAAAGTAAAATCAATGTAGCTGATTTGTCCATAAAAAAATTAGTTGATTTGCTAACTATCCTAACAAATCATGTTGAAAACACAATAAAACAACATATTGATAAAAAAAATGAATTAAAAAATTTAGAAAAAAACTTGAAATCTTTAAAAATTGAAAAGGAAAACTTGGAAAATAAAAAAGAAGAACAAGATAATATACTAAGTAATACAGAACAATGTTTTGAAGAAGAAAAAAACAAATGGAACAAAAAAATTCATGAAGAAGAAAAAAAAATTACTCAAGTAGAAAAAAATGTAAAAACAATATATGAAAATATAGATAATATAAATTTTAAAACTAACAGAGAAATTAAAGAAATTAATAACATAGTAAAACATATTCATGACACAATCAATAGCTATAGTAGAAATTGTGATATTATAACTGATCTTATAGAAAATACAAGAAATTCTCAAAAAATTTTAAGTGATAAAGTACAAAATAATATACAAAAATATATTAAAGCGAATGTTTAATATGAAGATTATTTTCATTTTATATATTAAATTGTAAACATTACTAAAAAAATCAATTATAAGTATTCGTATATGTTAAAATGTTTGAAGAAATAGAAAATAATCAATAAATATATATTTAATATATAAATATATAGCCAAAAATGCAAAGAATAATAATTTTATATAAATATATATTTATATATATATATATATATATATATATAAAATATAGCATAAATTTGATTTCAAAAATATTTTACTTTTTTTTTTTTTTTTTTTTTAATATGTTTTGTATTTCATCATATTTTATTTTTTTTATTTTTTTTTTTTTTTTTAAATAATATATAAAAAACAATTATTATATATAATAAATTAATATATAAATTTTTGTAAATGAAAACGATAAATAGGAAGAAAAATGTAATGATTTCAAAATAGTAATTTTTTTAATAAATTTATCTTTTAAAGGAGCTATAAAAAAAAAAAGAAAAAATGAAGCAGAAATAAAATAATAAAGTGATTAAAATAAAAAATAAAGATATTTTTTTAATATTTATTTAAATTTCAATTATGAAAAAGAAGATTTTAATAAATAAAAAAAATTTATTAAATTTTTTTTGTTATTAAAAAACATATGCAATATATTCGAAATAAAATAATAAATTGAATAAAATTAAAAATAATTATTAATAAAGTGACAATATATGAAGAAATGATAAAATAAAAGAAAAAAAGAAACATATATATCCATAATATGGAATAACAATATTATCTATATGTATTACATGTATTTTTCAATATATATTTATATTTATCATCACTATATAAACAAAAGCAAAGTAATGCATAAAAGATAATTATATTTTAATTAAAATTTTTCATAATTTAATTCCTTATTTATTTTTATAAAAAAAACAAAATGAAAGTTACAAAAATTTATGTTTTAGTTAAAAATGTTAATTTATTCTCCTTTGCAAAAACATACTATTTCAAATCATTGCTGCCATTGTGTAGTTCTATGGATAGGCTATAAAAAAATACATATATATATATAAATATACAGTATATATAATGGAAACTTTTTAGCTTATTTTTATTTACGTTTTTAATGCAGCATTATTTAGTTCATCATTTATTTTTTCATAATTTATATAATGATTTCTATAAATAAAATACAATGGAATAGCTAAAACACAAGCTCCTGCAATCTACAAAAAGAAAAAAAATCAAAAAAAAAAAAAAAAAAAAAAATTAATAAATATTTAATAAGATATGTATAGATTCATATATAGGATTTTTTATGAAGAAAAAAAAAAAAAATATAAGAAGACTTACATAATTTCCAATTAATGTAGGCAATAAATTTTTAAAATATACGTCAGAAAAGGAAACACTGGTGTTAACCATTAGTGAAAGATTTAAAGTATATATATTTGCTATAATGTGTTCATATCCAGCAATGGCAAAAGAATAAACTGCAAAAAATACACTAAATACTAAACCAGAGCCATCCTTTATAGATAAAACGAAATAAACAGCTAAACAAACAAATATATTGCACCCAATTGCTAAACATATACATTCAACAAACGAATGACTCACTTTTTTTGCGGCAATGTCATTTAAAAATTGAAAAATATGATTTTTACTAATATCTGTGTTTTTATGAAATGCTCCTGACCCATAAGACACAAAAAAAGCAAAGGATACTGCACCTATGTAATTACCAACAAATGATATAGTCATAACTCGTAAATATTCCAATATCTTAACTTTTTTTTGTAATAGTGCTGTTGTAACAGCTAAAGTATTTCCTGTAAACAAATCTGAGCCTGTACAGATAATACATAAAAAAGCAATAGGAAACGTAAAACCATATACAAATGAACTCACAGAGGCTCCTACATATTCTCTTAATTTGTGAAAATAAAACAATCCACCTATGAAATCCCCAAAAGAAAAAATATATATATATTTAATATTTACACACTTCATGTCTAAGTAAAATGTATATAAAATAAACCTGCTATTCCTGAAGCATGTGCACAAACTCCTACAAACGCACCAGCCAAAATTGCTTTCCCTAATAATATTAAATTACTATAGTGAGCTTTTGCTTTACCATATTCAACACACCTGATATAAGATTCTTCACTTGAACATGCTGTTTTTACATTTATAGGGTCTACAACATATTTAATAGTATTTGTAGGCATTTTTATAAAAAAAAAAATATTATTCTTTTAAATGTTATCTATTAAAAATTTAATAAAAATGTTAAAAATAAAAAATTATTTAAAATACAAAAAAAAAAAAAAGAGAAAATTAACAAAATGAAGAAACTAATGAATTTAGATATTTTTTTATATTATTCATTTCAAATAATGAAAGAACATATATTCTACATAAATATTATTTCATATTTTAAAATTTTTGTTTTACGGAAAAATATGTATTTTTAAGGTGTTTTTTTTTTTTTTTTTTTTTTTTTTTTTTTTTTTCTTTNTTATTGCATTCAAATTAAATAAATTAAAATATTTGAAAAATTTATATATTCTTTTTCTATATTTTTTTCATAATTAAAAAAAAAAATATGTAGAGAAAAAGAATTTATACATTTATAAAAGTAAACAAAAATTAAATGTAAACATATTAATAATCATATAAATTTCCCCTTTGAATTGAACACATTATTTTAATATTTTATCTAAAATTTTTTTTTATTTACTATTTTAATTCTATGATATAAAATTTACGTTTATTTATTATATTTCTTATAATATTATAAAGAAAATTTTGTTAAAGTATTTTTTTTTTTTAAATTTTGTTAAGTGCTTTTAAATCCATGTGCAAATAACTGAAAATTGACAACTTATTTATTTTTTAAACGATAAAAAAAGAAAACGTTTTATAAAATTATAATTTTAATTAATTGTACAAATATTATTATATTGGCACTCAAAACAATTTATATTGAAGTTTATTATTTATTATTTTTCTTTTTTTATGTTTTTTTTTTAATGAGATGGATTTTCGTTTTTGTTACATTAGTTTAGTTTTTATACTAATTATATAAATATTAAAAAATTTTTTTGCATTTTTTAAAAAAAATTGTTGCACATAGATAAAAATTAAAATAATAGAAAATTATAAATATAATATTTACATCTTAAATCATAATTATTAAATTTCTAAAATTAGATGAATAGACAACAAATTAAAAATGATATATAATTCATATATAAACAAAAAATGAAACAAAATAAAATAATAATGATAAAAAAGATCATTAATTTTTTTATTAAAAAAAGTATAATTAGTAAAATAAAAATTTTTTAAAAAGGTTACTGCTTAGATATGTTCATAAGGGTAAACACACAAAAATATTTTAAGTATTTTATTTTATATAATTATTCAAGAAAATAAAAAAAAACACAAAAAAATAAAAATTTTTTTTTATATTGCATTTTTTCTATTAAATAATTTAAAATAAGAAGAAAAATAAAAACATTATTTTTTTTTATCGAAAAAATAAATGTTAATTTTAATTTTAATTATTTAATACTACAATAGATATAATCTTGATAGTATTTTACTTTTTGGGCTGTTTTATTATCTCTAAATTTTTCTTATAAAAATATTTATCACATTTACTAATTTAAATCGATAATTTAACCCATTTTTTTTTTTTTTTTTTTTTTTTTTTTTTTTTTTT